CAAATACAAATACAAATACAAATGGAAAGTTGAAAAAATTGACACATCCCTATAAAATTGCAAAAAGTTCTGCCAGAGCCAGAATAAATTAAGCAAGCTAAAGAAATAATAATGGTTTCTCAATGTAATTTCTGTAGTGTGGGTTTGACCAGGGTTTTGTATTTTAACTCCCTCAAGGGACTTAGTCTGGAATGCCTTAGTCAGGGACTAGACACTAGAGGGAAGATGGCACTATTTCTGTGGCAGGAGGGAAAGAATAAACAATAGAATGACACCTGACAGCAAAGGTGCACTTAATCATAGCCCAAAGATTTGTGTAGAGTTCAGGACCACAGTCCCATTACTATGGGAAAAAATGGAGACTGTCATATTTTTCGGAGTATAAGACGTACCTTTTTCCCTCAAAAAAGAGGCTGAAAATCTGGGTGCATCTCATACACTGAACACAGCATTTTTTGCCTCCCGAAACCCTGCCCCCTTCACCAAAATGGCAGTGCATAGCCTTCAGGAGGCTTTCAGAGTGCTCCTGGGGGTTGCGGAGGGAAGAAATGACCAAAAAACAGGCCATTTTACAAGCCTCCTAAAGGCATGCATGCCCTTTATTTAAAAAGGACGGGTCCATTTTTGCGAAAAACAGGTCATTTTTTGGGAGGTCTGCAGAGTGCAAAAACTTTTTTTTTTAATTTGCCTCTTCAAAATCTTGGTGCGTCTTATACTCTGAAAAATGTGGTAAATTGCTTCTTATGCTTGAGGGGCTTTCTAGAAGATTCTTAACATCTATTTGACTGTGGCCTGAATCTTGTAGATTTACACTATCCAAACAAAAGCAGCATTAGAGTAAAACAACATTCAGTTCAGTAAGTAGCTGGTGCAGACCGTTCTTTAGCACAAAGAATGTGTGTTTATAGAGGTAAAAATCAAGATTTAAATCCTTTTACTAGACTGAATTTCCTATGACTAACTAAGTGGAATGGACATCAATCCCTGAGACCCCAGAGGCCTTGCTGCTGGAAGAAAGTCTGAAATATATCTGCACAAATATCTTTTTAGCATACAAACACACTTCATTGCATTCCAGTACCTTTTAAAAGACCCTCTTCTGCACTTGCTAGTTTATTAGACAGCAGATGAGGAAAGAGTGTATAAAGGGAGAAATATTAACATTATGATAACTATTTTTGTAAAAAAAATACTCCTGAGGTTGATACTTTTTAAAAGATGTTTTGAATTATGAATGTAATTATAGGTTATGTTTCTTGCTTTGGTTTGTGATATTATATGGTCATTTTAATAACCATTTTTATTTCTTAGTCTGATTTAATACATAGTACTATGAATGTTTTAAAGTAAATTGATGAGATTGTAATCTACTGTCTTCTAATTGGGGTGAGAGTAAATTGAATAAACAAATAAAAATAAACAGCATAACTGAAATCTAAGGTTTTCCATATTTCTAGTAAATTAACATTCTTTGCCCATCAATACTGAATCACTGTCACTGTCTTTTTTAAAGCCCTTGTTAAACCTGGTGACATGTGGGGGTTGCTATATAATTGGCCATCCCCTTTGCCTCTTTCCAGATTACATAAAATGTGGGGAACTAAATTGGTTTAACTATCAACTATGCAACTTCCTTTCCTCTTTTTCTGAACAAGTCTGAACTCTACTCTAAGTAACTTCAATGCCAACACTTACTCTTCACAATCTATGTGTTTTATATACTGAAAACAGCAGGAGGTAGTAAGGATGACATTTTACCAACTGCAGATTCTTTTCTTAGACAGTGGACGAAGTATGCAGAAAAAAATAAGTCTCCCAGGGAAGTTTTGATATTTCATGAGCTGAAAAAGAAAGAGAGAGGAAAGGAAATAACAGTTTTGTCCCTTCATCAGACCAGTACAGAAAAGATTTCGGCACACTCAAACCAAAGTAAATACATTTCATTTATCATAAAATATTAAAGACCAGGTTTAATCAAAAGTTTATATTGGTTCCAGCCTATTGTAAACCCAAATGTAAATATAATCCATCTCTTATCTTTTCATGCTGAATTGCAGGCTCTAGAACAAATAGACCAATCCCAATCAATAAATGATATAAAAACTACCATATCAGATTGTGAAATGACTCATAGGAACTTGTGACATGGAAAAAGCATGTTGTTGCTAAATATACAAGTTAGAACTGAAAAGACCGTTGGCTTACCTCAACAGTCGTTCTCAGGGCGCTGCGAGGAGAGTCCAAGCATGGGTTAACACAGCCTATCTGCCCTTGGACTGAGTAATGTTTTTCTTGACCACGCCTCCCTTTGCCTCTCCATGTTCAGTTTAAAAACGAAAGGACAAATATAAGGTCACAGTCAATAATACAGTCACAGATTGTAAGACCCCCCCCCCGGTGGGTTTGGAGTCTCCTCGCATCGCCCTAGAATGACCGTTCAGGTAAGCCAATGGTCTTTCTCCAGTGCGCTGCTATGCCTAAGCTATAGAGTCCCAGGATAGGTAAGAGCCAGAGCCTCCGGAGTTTCAGCAACTCTCTGCAAGATTCTTCTTCCGAAGGAGGCTTAGGCTGAGGCAAATGTGTCTATTTTATAGTTTTTAATAAAGGCGGAGGGGGAGGCCCACGAGGCCACCCTGCAAATGCCCAGAAT